GTTGGTTATTAGATGCTGCCCCCGCCGCCCCGCCCTCTCCTCTCTGCGCCGCAAGCAGCAGGCGCACCTCGCAAACGGAGGGCGCCCTTACTCCCCGCAAATGGGCGATAGAAAACCGATCGGTATCTATGTCATTCACAATATGCGCTTTCATGACGTCGGGGCAGCATGAGAACGAGCTATTTTTAAAAAAAAATTTTTTTTTTGATGCCGCCCCCACCATGATGCCGCCCCGCAAAACGCAAAGAGTTTGCTTTTCCTCTGCTCAAGTAAGACTGTGACAAGTCCTGGAGTTGGTGTTTTTTTACCAGGCTGTGTCCGTCAATGCACATATTAAACAAATATGTAGGACTGCTTTCTTCTATTTGTGCAAAACTTCTAAAATTAGGAACATCCTGTGTTTTTTAAAGTGATGCTGAAAAACTAGTTCATGCATTGATTACTTCTAGGCTTGGCTATTGTAATTCATTTTTATCAGGCTGTCCTAAGAACTCAACAAAAAGCCTTCAGTTGATCCAAAATGCTGCAGCAGGAGTACTTACATAGTCTAGAAAGGGAGAGCATATTTCACCCATACTGGATTTTCTTCATTGGCTCCTTTATAAATCCAAAAATCAAATTTAAAATCCTTCTCCTCACATAAAAGGTCTTGAATGAGCAGGCCCCATTTTATCTTAAAGTCCTTAGTGTCCCATGCTGCCACTATAGAACACTTTGCTCTCAGACTGCAGGCTTACTTGCAGTTCCTTTGGAATTGTAAGGTTTTACATTGAGGACAGAACACAGACTCTAGGACATTAAAGGAACTAACATAATCAAACAAGACATCCTGAGAAAATATACATAAGAAACTCAGAAGCACAAGGAAATACTAAACTCGGAATAAAAAATACTGAGCATGAACTTAAATCATCTCTGAAATCCAAAAGAAAGGCCCAGGAGTCCACAACAAAAAAACTGGCTCAAAGATCCAGGACCATGGCACCAGCTTCCTTTCCACTTTTCGTAGCTGCCCTTACTTCGTCATTACTAATCATCTGTATTTCCTGATTATAAATAATAGAAATGTAAGCTTCCAAAACTTTAAATTGAAAAACAGCAATTAACTAAGTCTGGGGGGAAAATGTAGTTACTGAAAAGCAAAAGGTGGCATCAAAAGAAAAGATCTGCGTAAAAACCTAAAGCTTGCACTTGAGTCAGTACTTCATTGTCTCAAATAGGAAAAGTTATATAGTTACTTTTTTATCAGTGGGTATATATAAAAGACACCAGAATTATTAGAACTGGAAATTAGTGAAAAACTGCAACTTAATGGACCTACCTGGCCAGACTGAATGCATCATCCACAAGTTGTGCTCTGTTTATCACTGGTATAACCTGGAATGATATAGATTCTCGCTGAAGACATCAAAACTATGAGCGAACACATATGGACTTGTATAGTAAACAAAAAGTGTGAAATAACTCAAAACATGTTTTATATTTTAGTTTCTCCTAAATAATTCCCCTTTACTTTGATTACTTCTTTGCACACTCTTGGCATTCTCTCGATGAGCTTCATGATGTAGTCACGTAAAATGTTTTTTTCAACAGTCTTGAAGGGGTTCCCAGAGATTCTGAGCACTTGTTGGCCCTTTTGCCTTCACTCTGGGGTCCATCTCATCCCAAACCATCTCGATTGGGTTAAGGTAAGGTGACTGTGGAGGCCATCTGGTGCAGCACTCCATCTCTCTCCTTCTTGGTCAAATAGCGTTCACACAGTCTGGAGGTGTGTTTGGGGTCATTGTCCTGTTGAAAAATAAATGATCGTCCAACTAAACACAAACAGGATGGGATGGCATGTTGCCACAGGATGCTGTGGTAGGTATGCTGGTTCAGTGTGCCTTCAATTTTCAAGAAATCCCCAACAGTGTCACCAGCAAAGCACCCCCAGACCATCACACCACCTTCATGCTTCATAGTGGGAACCACACATGCAGAGACCACTCGTTCACCTTTTCTGCATCACACAAAGACACGGCGAGTGGAACCAAAGATCTCACATTTGGACTCATCAGACCAATGCACAGATTTCCACTGGTCTAATGTCCATTCCTTGTGTTTCTTGGCCCAAAGAAATCTCTTCTGCTTGTTGCTTTTCCTTAGTAGTGGTTTCTTAGCAGCTATTTGACCATAAAGGCCTGATTCATGCGGCCTCCTCTGAACAGCTGATGTAGAGATGTGTCTGCTACTGGAACTCTGTGCGGCATTTATCTGGGCTCTAATCTGAGGTGTTGTTAACGTGCAGTTTTTAAAGGGTTGATGACTTGGATGAATTTATCAACAGAGGTGACTCTTGGCCTTCCTTTCCTGTTGTGGTCCTGTTATGAGCCAGTTTTGTTGTAGCGCTTGATGGTTTTTGCAACTGCACTCGGGGACACAATCAAAGTTTTAGCAATTTTCCAGACTGACTGACCTTCAGTTCTTAAAAGAATTATGGGCTGTCATTTGTCTTTACTTAGCTGATTGGTCCTTGCCATCATATAAATTCTTACAGTTGTCAAATTGGGGCTGTCATTTCTCCTTACCACTAACCACTAGGTAATTGGTAAAAATACCTCAGGCAGCAGAAACCCAAGAACAAGGAGGAACCATCATGGAAGGATGGGCTCCTGCTTGGTATGTACCAACCGGACATAGTAGTGGTGGACAAGCAGAAGAAGACAGCCGTAGTGACAGTCTTAGCAATACCGAATGATAGCAACATCCGGAAGAAGGAACATGAGAAGCTGGAGAAGTACCAGGGGCTCAGAGTCTCAGGGGATGGGTCTGTGACTCAGCATTTTGAGTTCATTTTGTAATTTTTATTTCCTATATTATATTGAAAATATGTGAAAATAAAAGTCTTGTGTTGGTATTATCAGTTAGGATTAAGTTAAGTGTTATTCCAGTTTAGGTTTTCATCTATGTTCCCTTGTGTGAGTCTGTTCTTTTCCTCTGTGTCAGTATGACTTGTATTTCTTGTCTGTGTGTTTCATGTTGTCAAGCCGGTGTTGTAACGTCTCGGTCTCTCCATGTTTCCTGGTTTATTTTGAAAGTCTGTTTCTATGTTCAACGTGCTTAGTGTTTCTCTTCCCTGTGGTGTCATGACGTTCATTTGTGTCAGCTGTTTCCCTATGTGTTTCCACTTTCCCTGATCTGTGTGATCCATGCAGTCTTTGTTGGGTCGTCTGTTTGCGTTCATGTTGAATCAGGTCAAGTCACAGAGTTTTCTCTACTGTTCAGGTTCATGTTCATGTTTGGTTCATTTCATAGCTCCATAGTCGCATGTTCCTTTTCAGTTTCATGTTCTTATCCATCGAAACTGTTTTGATTGGTTGATTGACTGGTTGATTGATAATATTTTATTTATCTCCAAGACAATTGTTTTCATAGCTATTTTAGTATTTCCCAGTGTAGGTCTTAGTTTAGTTTTGCCCTCCGCCACAATAAAGGCTCACTTTTTCTTTAAACCTCAGTTCATCTCTCCTGTGTCTGCATTTGGGTCCATTTCATAAATACATAGGCGTTCCCCGCTGTGACACAGAGAAGAGCTCGAGAAGATGTGGAGGGTGAAAGTAACAGTGGTTCCAGTGGTAATCGGAGCACTAGGTTCAGAAACTCCCACCAAGCTAGGTGTGGCTTCACCAAATCCCAGGAACAACATCCAAGATCTGGTTGAGGACCTGAGTTTGAAGGATAAAGACTGCCCACAGGGATGAGAGGGGAGTTTTTTATATGTACATATGCATATCTCATTATGCATATGTATAAATACTGATAACAGAAAATAACGAAATTGATGTCCTGCATCCATTAAATGAGAAAATGTGAATCATGTCAGAGAGTGTCTGTGTACCTTGTGATTTGTATTAAGCTGGGTGAAAAGGCGTTCCCAGTTTCCCAAGTCATAGTTTACCCGGTAATATCCAGTTACATTAATGTTGGCCAGTACCCAAAAACCATCACTCCTCATTTCTAAGTTTATCACTGATGGAGGAAAAGAAAAAAAACCCCACATGCTTAAATTTTCAAAAAGTTTAATTACATTTGTATTGTACTTGTAAAACCACATTAAAACTGTGTACCAGCTTTACCTTCCTTTTCCATGAGCCACCAGATATCTTTCTGGACCGTACCACCCCTTATCCATCGAATAGGAATCAGCCACTCATAGCTGGGGAAGGCAACACATTTAGTGTCATTCATATACCAAACAAGTTACTAACAGGTGCAGCTCTGAGAAATGCTAGTGAATTTAATATTTCTATTTAATTCGGTTTAGCAATTCACTGTTTAAATGGACATTAAATAAGGTGATCCAATAATGTTATGTGATTACATGTGTCAAGTGTTTGAACAAAATAGAGAGTTAGAAAGGGTCTAACTTTCTATAAATACTATAAGTAGGGATGGGAATCGAAAACCGGTTCTTGTTGAGAACCGGTTCCCGCTGTTTCAATTAATTGGAATTGTTTGTCATTTTTGCAACGATTCCCTTATCGATTCCAGTCGCCTCGAATGACGGCACCATGTTGTTGAGTGTCATTTACCTGGCAGGAATCATGGCGCCTAAGCGGCACAACCGCTCAAAAGTTTGGTTGTACTTTACGAGAACAGATGACAACAGGGCAACTTGCAATACTTGCAAAGTAGATCTTTCATTTAAGGGAGGAAACACTATGAATATGCAAAAGCATTTGCTCATAAAACACGCGAT